CTCTCAGAAAAGAAGATTAGAAACAGTTTGTATTCACTTAGAACAGTCAGCAAGGAACACTCAGGCTTGCCCCAGGACTCTCCTGCTATTTTAACAGCTATAGTACAAAGGGGTCTTTTTGATCCCTTGTTGATATATTATCAATATTGATAATATCAGAGCCTGTGAGCAGGAAGTGGCAAGTGTTCTGGATGGCTTCATAAGACACATGAGCAGCAGAAAGTGGAAGATAAATCTACAAACATTTAAAGTCCTGTTACTTTGGTAAGGTTTTAAAAGACCAGTGGTCTGGGACATTCCGAGATGTTCTCTCCAAGGTAGAGGACAAGTTTACTATACCTTATACCTTATACCTCTAAAAAAAAAAAGAGGTGCAGTATTTTATAAGTCTCTTTAGTTTTTGGAGACAGCCTGTAGCATACTTGGGAATACTGTTCTGATCCATATAATGGGTGACTTGGAAAGCTGTCAGTTTTGAGCGAACCTCAGAGCAACAGAGAGCTCTGTAGCAGTTTTAGTCTATGGTACCAGAGGCCTGCTTCTTGGGCCATATACCTGGCCAGATCCCATGATGCTAGAGGGAGACACCTACAGTAGGTGAGAATACTTTTGGAGTCTTAGGAAAGCCACAACAGAAACCTCTCGGTGTAGATCATTGCTGTCTGCAGCAGAGAACCACTCCCCATTCAAAACGCCGCTCCTGGCAATGCTCTGGGCTCTGGGAGAGAATGAATGCCTGGCCATGGGACATCAAGTGACTATGCAACTGGAAGTGCCCATCATGAACTGAATACATTAGATCTAGTCCTAAAGTTGGGCAGGCACAGGGGTAATCCACTGAATGATAAAAATGGAATGCTGGGATCAGGTCCAAGCACGTCTGGAGGGTACAAATAAGTTTCATAAATAAGCAGCCCAGACACCATGTCATCTATCTTTTGCTTACCAATGTCTCTTTTTCAGCTCAGACATCATAAGGAATTCCCTAGGAACTTAAAAAAAGTCATGGATGAATCATGATATATTGGTGCAAACTGTAAATGGAATGCTTCCAGACTTTAATGCCACTCAGAGGCAGCCCTGAAAGATGATGATTAAGGGAAATCCTCCTTGTGGGCAGAGTTTTAGGCAGTGTTCCTAGGTCCTCAGTTTGGAGGACAGTATTGAATGTCTTGGTCAAAGGCCTGGGAGGAGCAAGATTGAAAGATAAGAGAAAAAGAGTTCTGGGGAAGAGGCATGCGAATGGACCTATGAGAAGGGCATAGCAAACACACTCTATGGCAAGCCATACCAAGTCACACCCTGTGTGACCCCATTCCCTAAGAGAAGATGGATTCTGTGACTTGCTTCTAAATCTAGCAAAGGTATTAGACATACCATTCCTGTGATTACATTGTACTATGTAAGATCCTATTTTAGCACACTGGAGAGACTTCCTGGTTGGCTCTGAATTAAGTTGCCATGATGTGAAAGGACTGCTGGCAAAGAACAGTGGGTGGCCTCCAGTCATGGAGAGAGCCCCTGGACAACAACCAGGAAGAAAAGAAACAACCACAAAGAGATGAATTTTGCCAACAATCTAAATGAGCTCAGAAGCAGATTCTTCCCTAGTCGAGTCTCCAGATGAAAATGCCGCGCAGCCAACATCTTGACCACAGCTCTGTGAGACCCTCAGTGGAGAAACCAGCTAAGCTACGCCTGGACTCCTGAACATGGAAACTATGAGATAATATATGTATGTGTTTTAAACTGCTAAATTTGTGGTAATTTTGTTATACCACATAGTAAAAAAATACAAGTGGACACAAAATATGTGGATTTTTGAGTCTCACAAAGCAGGTTGATTTTCCAGTAAACATTAGCCAGTCTTTATCCCTGGTCACCTCAATGCTTCCAAAATGGGCTCATAAATGGAGGAGGCATGGTGGTAGGGATGGAGGTGATGGAGGCCATTGCATAGGTTCAATGACGCATCTCCCTCTCAGCAGGCTGATTTAGTTAATTCTATCACTAAGCATCTCACCTGTGTGTTACAGAGACTGAGGCTAAGCCCTCAAAATGGTATATCCATTCAGTGACAAACTGATTACATGGAATTCCTTCACCTTGGAGAATACAGCAGGTGACATGTGTCCCTGTATGGGTGTGCTTTTCCAACCCACAATCCCTTGGCCAGCACTACTATCTAAGGGTTTGGAGGGATCATGAGATCCCATATAATATTGCCTTGGATCAAAAGACCCTCTTTTTAGTAAAGGAGGTATGATAAGAAGGATCCACTGATTCTACCACATACCTCTTCATCCAGAAGCTACCGGTCTGACAGAATGTTGGAATGGCCTCTTAAAGGTACAATGAAAATGCCAGTTTGAGATTGTGTGGGATTGAGACACTACCATCCCTCTCAGTGATTGACATGAGGAATTTGTATCATCCTTCCTCATGACTTCAGGCTCTGCTGGACTGGAGGTCCTGGTTTTGATTGAGGGGAGAGAGATGCTTCTATCAGGAGACCCCTTTAGGTGGGTTTCACTAAACCTAAAACCGCTGCCTGGTCCTCTGTGGCTCCACATGCCCATAAGGAGTTACTGCACTGGCAGGTGAGGACAGGGTTGCTTCTACTGCTTAGAGCAGGAGATGTATGTCTTGAACTCAGGGGATTCTCTGAGACTCCTCTTGTAATTGTAGCAAGCCCGATCTGACAAAGACATGGTAACAAGAGGCTTACAGCCCTCAGGGATGAAGGCTGGTTACCCTACTGGAAAAACAACTGAGCTCAGCAGAAGTGCTGGCCAAGGGTAAGAGAAATCTAGAATGGGTGGTAGAGGAGGAAAGTGATGAATTATCAATTTCAGACCTCGGATTAATTGCAGTAGTGGATTCTATAGCTTGTCCCACTAATCATCTTTTGGTGAGTCCTTTTCTTTCAGAAATTGAGAACAACCACCATTGAGAAGAATCACTGAGGGGATGGTGTGAACTTAATGTGGGCGGGGGGAGGGGAGAGAGTGGAAATGACTAGTGCAAACGAGTATATCTCATTGGAACATAGCAGATGCTATTAGTGCCCATAACCACTTGACATGTAACTTTTCCATGAATGGTCAGTCTGACTTCCAACTTCTAGCATGTGTGGCTCTTTGCCTAAGGAATGTTTCCAGCTGCCATACCTAGTCTGCCTGAGCACAGGCAGACCACAAGTTCCAGGAAATTAATGTTCCGCCATAGCAGGCCTCAGCCAATAACTGCTGGGAGGTAGTGAATAAATGCCCCAGCTCCTTTGCCCTTAAGAGGGAATTACTCTGAGACAAATATCTCAGTATTCCGCAGTGAATTCAGCCCACAGAGAAATTTGCTTGATAATATTCCTTTTATCAGCTTCCTTCTGTTCCCTGATGTTTCCTGAGATTACTTCCTATATGAACCACTTGCCCTCGAATTTTTGTCTCAGGATGTGCTTCTAGGTGAACTAAACTAAGACAAGGTTCAAATGAAGAGCAATATTACAGTATAATATAATAATTGAAAACTAAATATTGGAAACCAGAATTCTACACATATTTTAAGAGTTGTTATCCTAAATAAAAACATAGTGCAGATATTTAACTCATATTCAGAAGAATTGGTTTCCACTATGAAAAAAACACAACTAAATATTCTTCCCAGTTGGAAGATCCAAGTCAATGTAAAATGCCAGAACTGACATGGCCATCTTTCTAGTTCTTAATAAAATAGGACCAACCTATGAAAGAAAATTAAAATACTAAATAATTAAATATTTTTTTTAATTTGGTAATTTCTCAATTTTAAATTTACAACATGATCTCTAACATCTCATTGTTATGTAATATAATCTCTAATATCACATTATGCTATAGGTTTATACTATAATTCAATAGAATTTTTACAAGTTCCCTCACCTTTTAAGCCGTTGAGAAACTCTCCAGGTAGGTTGTGCGGTTTTACAGGGGGCCCATCTCCTGAGAAACCTACCACTTCTACTTAGGCGATGTCTTATACTCTCATAGTAGGTGCTCAGTAAATATTTGTAGAATGTCATCAGTGGTTGGAAGGGAAAATTGTTTTAAAAAGTAATTTACTGAGAAATCCCGAAGTTTAGTTTTGTAGGAAAAGGAACTGGCCTGGGGTCCCCGCAGGAGGTAAGGTTCCATTCAATAGACACAAAACGCGTCGGGGAGGGGGACTACGACGCCTACTTACCTGGGCACAGAGGAGTCCCCAGGAGCCCACAGGACCCCACCTGCCGGACCGCAGCCGCCTCTGGTATCGCTGTGTCGGTGCAGCGGTTGCCTAGGGAACCCCTGGCGGGGCTTCGCGCAGTGCCTCTTGGGGGACCGGGTCTTGAAGGTGGGGCTGTAATTTATTGATTTTTTAAAATAATTTTACTTATTCACTTTTTCACTTAACTTTGTACTTTTAATACATTCCTTTTGACAAATATAAAATGAATGATGATTAGAGAGGGCATGTACATTGCCCACTTGGGTTCACACATATCAAGTGGAATTGGCCTTATTTTAACCCAGAATTGCCGGTCTCAAAGTCAGTGCCACATTCCTTGAACCACACAGCTTTCAGACAGCATGGATTTTGTTGACTCTCCTAAGGGTTAATACAGATACAGAGACGCAAGGGGAAAAACACCGGCACACAGCGAAGGGCTATCAGATATATTTCCAGGAAAATAAGGGCAGAGGTAGGCAGAAAAAAAGAGACCAACTTCGAATGGATCTATCTACAACTCAGAGAACCGATTCAAAAGAAGCAATCCAGTCGCAAACCCTACTCCTTTTCCAAAGAGGACTAGATGAAGCGCGAGCCCAGACTAACCTGTCCACTTTTTCTCCGCCCACTTTTTCTCCCGCCCGCACCAAACATGGCGCCCTTCGCTTCCTCCCTAAGCAACGCGCAGGTTCTGGGAGTCTGTACGCGACCTCTCTACGGTATATCCTCCAGCTCCGCCCCCGACGTGCCTGGGGCGGGACTTGCCCGGAGGTGGGGATCTGGGATCCGGAAACACCTGAGCTATTCCCGGTCTTGTTTGTTTAGTGCACAAGGGGCGTTTTTTCTTTCTGGATCTGATGTCCAGAGTGTGAGGTGTCTTCTCTCCCGGCCTCCTGGAGCAGTGTGGAGGTTGCCGCACTCTGGGCCGCGGCCTGGTGCCCTGTCGTGAGGGCCCCCATTTCTTCCGACCATGCCCGCGGCCGCTGCCCCCATCATAAGCTCCGTCCAGAAGCTGGTTCTGTACGAGACCAGAGCTGTGAGTTCCCTGCGCGGCGGGGCGCGGCGGGGCGCGCGAGGGAGGACGGTGACAGCATCTTCCTCCCTAAGTCCCTAATCCCAGCCGTGGGCATGTGTCTGAGGGGGGCTTCGCTTTGTTATCGCACCCAGGGCACTGCTGCTTTTGCTTTTACATGTTTCCATTTAAAAGCCACAGTTGAAATACACTGGAAACAGGTGCTTGTGCGTGTATGTCAGAAACTGTTCATAAAGTTCTGAACGAGTATGGATTCTTTCCAACTTTCAGAGTCTGTTCTGTAGTTCGCTACTTACAGTACAGGCAAGGGTATGAAAAAATATTTTTGACCTTTGAATGAGTAATTTGTGTGTTTTCCGATTCCATGGCATACCAATTACTATACTGTTAATTACGTACGCTTTTATTGCTAAAATATTTGGTTCTCTTTATTTGAAAGGAAAGGAAAACTTGTTTTGCTTAATGACTGGTTTGTTTGGGTAACATTATTTTGCTTTTTCACTTGACTTTTTTGCACTTTTTGTTTCATTACTTCAAATGGCCGTGTAAATAGTTACTATAGAATAAGATCAGTTTTTGTGTTTAGATTACTGGGTCCCTAAGATTTACAGAATAGTGTTTATAGGAGCACATTGTCATTTGTGTGGTTGGAAAATAAAGTACAACGTTTTGAATTGGGGTAACAGTAATGTTAGAGTCTGTGTTTAAAATTACACTTCGTAGTAATAAGATTGCTTATGCTGGAAGCCTGCCTGTATGCTGTAGAGTGTTTCATAGGGCACATTCAATGGAACCTGGGTTGTCTTCCATTGATAAAGTAGGTACTTAACAGTTTCTCGATTATAACCTGGTTCTAATATCAGGTCTGCCTCAGGTCACAATTAATGGAGAAGTATTGTTGAACCTAAGTTAATTTTGTTGGCAACTTCATTTGATTAGATCCACGCCAGAAGAGGAAATTATCAAACATCTGTAGCTATCTTGAGTTGTTCTCTGAGGAGAGTCATACAGAAGTATCATTTTGACATTGAAACAAAACCTTCTGCTTTCTGTACAATGTGCTGGTAAATGTCCCTGATTAGAAACATAAATACTACACTCAAAACACAGAAACTTCAGCCCATTAGTCAGCTGAGCATTCATTAGGACTGGCTGAGATGTTAGTATTCTTTTCAAAGCATAACTCAGGGCTCTTCTGCTCACAAACCTTCAGTAGCTCCCATTCTGAGGAGAGTAAACACTTTATCCTTTAGTTTGGCATTGAAAGCTATATGTGATTTGTCATCAGCCTGTATGATTTTATGTCTAATTTAATATCAATTCAACAAATATTTATTGAGGATTAACGCTGTGCCTGTATGTGCCTTATTCTGCGGTAAATCTGTATTGCTTTCAGTTCCTTATACCTACCTAGTGTCTTTTCTGCAGCTCTTTCCTAGTAAAGTCCCACCCCTTCTTGTCCTGTCATAACCTGTTGGTCCTCACAGCACACATGGTGGTACAGTGCCTTGTAAACAGTAGGCTTCCATTAGATACACTTGAGAGTGTCTAATATAAAGAGATACGTATTCCAGAACTTGGTTGTGACCCCACTCAGTCATCTAAGCAATGCAAACTAACTCCAGCCAGCTTAGAGATAAAAAGCGAGTTTATCAGAAGGATGCTGGAGGAGCCACTGCTTGGAATCACTGGAAGAGGCTAACTCCTCAGCTTCTGGAAAGGCAGGAATAGGAGAGCAGTATTGGAGAACCCACTCAGGGTGTTGCTGAGGACATACCATAGGCTTTAGGGGAAGGAACATGATTGACTCAGCTATGATTGGGAATCTGCCCCTTGGTGGGCAAATCATCGTGGCCAGGATGGGGTATGGCAGTAATGACTTTTGTTTTCAGGAATGGTTGGGCCAAGGCAACCACCCTGAGAAATGTCTGCTGAATTTAATTTTTGAATCTCAGTTTCCTCATCAGTGAAGTATGTGATTCTTCTTTTTTATATTTGGATTTAAAGATTTAAGCAGAGGGGCACCTGGGTGGCTCAGTCGGTTAAGCGGCCGACTTCGGCTCAGGTCATGATCTCACGGTCCGTGAGTTTGAGCCCCACATCGGGCTCTGTGCTGACAGCTCAGAGCCTGGAGCCTGTTTCAGATTCTGTGTCTCCCTCTCTCTGACCCTCTCCCGTTCATGCTCTGTCTCTCTCTGTCTCAAAAATAAATAAACGTTAAAGAAAAAAAATTTTTTAATAAAAAAATAAAGATTTAAGCAGAAAGATTTATTTCAGTAATAAGTTCAAAGTTTAAGGGACATAAATAACTCAGAAAAAAAGCATAAAATTGCCGGTAAGTAAAGAGATCCTAGGAAGTAAAAGGAAAAAAAACCCAACTGTAGCGGGTTGTGTTAATGAGAATAATAGAGCTAATGCTTATGGAACACTTCTATGCCAGCCACTGGTCGCAAAGCACTCCACATATATTTTGCTATTTAATCCTCATAAAACCTCTAAGAAGTAAATCTTGTTACTACTACTATTACTACTATTGTTCAGTGAAGAAAAGAATGAGGCAGAGAAGATCAATAGTGCTACTGAGAGTGTGGTCTGACAATTGGTGCCCAGCATAGATAGTTTGTAACTGGACTGGGACGGATTACATATAGAAACAGAGAGTCAGTGATTAGAAACTTTTATAGCTATTTGACAGAGTAATTGTATATCTGATGAATCAGTTAATTTAGAACATGGGTTTGTGGTTTGTGTGTCCTTGGGTTTGTGTTTTTTTGTTTGTTTGTTTTTTTAGCTTGTTACGGAAAATTTGAGCAAATACAAAATAAACAGAATAGTAAACACCCACATATCCACACCACATATCCACACCCACATATCCATCAACAGCTCCTGAATTACCTTTATTAGCTATAACTTGTTCCACTCCCCACCTACCACTTACTGTTTTATAAGGTTCTTTTTTTTTATTTAAATAAGTTGAAATGCACAAATCTAAACGATAGAATTTGATTATTATTATTTTTTTAATTTAAATTCAAGTTAGTTACATATAGTATTGGTTTCAGGATTAGAATTTGGTGATTCATCATGTACATATAACACCCAGTGCCCATCCCAACAAGTGCCCTCCTTAATGCCCATTGCCCATTTGGCCCACCCCCCACCTACCTCCCCTCTAGTTTGTTCTCTGTATTTAAGAGTCTCTTATGTTTTGCCTTCCTTTTTGTTTTTATCTTATTTTATTTTTCCTTCCCTTCCCCTATCTATGTTCTTCTGTTTTGTTACTTAAATTCCACATATGAGTGAAATCATATGGTATCAGTTTTTTCTGACTGACTTATTTCACTTAGCATCATATACTCTAGCTCTATCCATGTTGTTGCAAATGGCAAGATTTCATTCTTTTTGATCACCAAATAATATTCCATTGTATATGTGCATGCCTGTGTGTGTGTGTGTGTGTGTGTGTGTGTGTGTGTGTGTGGTGTGTGTGTGTGTGTATACACCACATCTTTATCCATTCATCAGTTGATAGACATCTGGACTCTTTCCATAATTTGGCTATTGTTGATAGTACTGCTGTAAACATTGGGGTGCATGTGCCTCTTTGAATCAGCATTTTTGTATCTTTTAGATAAATACCTAGTAGTACAAGTGCCAGGTAGTAGGGTAGTTCTATTTTTAATTTTTTGAGGTACCTCCATATTTTTTTTCGAGAGTGGTTACACTGGTTTGCGTTCCCAGTCAAGAGTTCAAAAGTGTTCCCCTTTCTCTGCATCCTTGCCAACATCTGTTGTTTCCAGAGTTGTTAATTTTAGCCATTTTCACAGGTGTGAAGTGATATCTCATGTGGTTTTGATTTGTATTTCCCTGATAAGTGGTGTTGAGCATCTTTTCATGTGTCTGTTAGCCATCTGGATGTCTTCTTTGGAAAAGTGTCTATTCATGTCTTCTGCCCATTTCTTCACTGGATTATTTGTTTTTTTGGGTGTTGAGTTTGACAAGTTTTTTATAGATTTGGATAGTTACCCTTTATCCAATAGTTCATTTGCATATATCTTCTTCCATTCTATTGGTTGCCTTTTAGTTTCATTGATTGTTTCCTTTGCTGTGCGGAAGCTTGTTATCTTTTTAAAAAACTTTTTTTAAATGTTTTATTTTTGAGAGAGAGAGACAAGAGTGTGATTGGAGAAAGGGCAGAGTGAGGGAGACACAGAATCTGAAGCAGGCTCTAGGTGGTCAGCACAGAGCCTGATGTGGGGCTTGAACCCATGAACCGTGACATCATGACCTAGCCAAAGTCGGGTACTTAACCAAATGAGACACCCAGGCACCCCCAGAAGCTTGTTATCTTTATGAGATCCCAAGAGTTCATTTTTGCTTTTGATTTCCTTGCCTCTGGAGACATGTCTAGTAAGAAGTTGCTGTGGCCGAGGTCAAAGAGGTTGCTGCCTGTTTTCTCCTCTAGGATTTTGATGGTTTCCTGTCTTACATTTAGGTCTTTAATCCATTTTGAGTTTATTTTTGTGTGTGGTGTAAGAAAGTGGTCCAGTTTCATTCTTCTGCATGTTGCTGTCCAAGTTTTCCCAGCACCATTTGCTGAAGAGACTGTCTTTTTTCCACTGGATATTCTTTCCTAAGATTAGTTGGCCGTACATTTGTGGGTCCACTTCTGGGTTCTCTGTTCTGTTTCATTGATCTGAGTGTCTGTTCTTGTCCCAGTACCATACTGTCTTGATGATTACAGCTTTGTAGTATAGCTTGAAGTCTGGGATTGTGATGCCTCCTGCTTTGGTTTTCTTTTTCAAGATCGCTTTGGCTATTCAGGGTCTTTTCTGTTTCCATACAAATTTTAGGATTATTTGTTCTAGCTCTGTGAAGAATGCTGGTGTTATTTTGATAAGGATTGCACTGAATGTGTAGATTCCTTTGGGTAGTATAGACATTTTAACAATATTTGTTCTTTCAGTACATGAGCATGGAATGTTTTTCTATTTCTTTGT